CCGTAGGTATTAGATTAAGCACTCAAACAATAGAACATAGAAGAATATAAAAGATCGAGGAGACGAAAATATAGATTGAAGCGACGAAAGAAAGGACCGAAATCAGAGAACCGAGAAGGAAGAACAGAAATCACATAGTTTTAAGAGAAGGTTTACTCAATATCCAAATCTGAATTTTAAAGAACTACATGGGGGTATTTATAGCAAACTAAAACCTAGACATAATAGGATAAAAATCCCTTGCTTAAAGGGAAATCCTAACCCAAATAAAATAGGAAACTTAAAACTAGAAATCTGGAAAAGTAGAAATCCTACTAGAATTGGGAAAACTAGAGAATCTAGGAAACTAACAAATACATTAGGAAACTAATAAATTTAGGTCATATGCGTCCTGCATCACTTATATCTGAGGTGATAATGTAACACCTCCCACTAAACACGATTATTATTTACTCTGTATAAGTTTTAAGTTCTCAAACTTAATTTGATCCAAGTGAAAAACAACAAATTCTATTGCACTAAGAACTCCAATCACCAACAACATCACATCATGAAAAAAGAAGAAGAAAAAAGAGCACCAGAGCGAGTGAACTTACAGTAGGAGTCGGAGTGCCAGCCTTCAAAAACACCATATTGACTGAGATGACCTCTCCTTCAGCCTTCAAACCTGCCTTCACCAAGTCAAACTGCGAAGCCCGGAACCGCCTCACACTCTCAATGCTTTTCAAAAGATTCTCCATGGCAGTGTTGTCATAGAGCTTGGCCCCATGACCAGGAGCCCCAGTAGCCTTGATGACCAGCCACATGGGACACTTCTCCGCATAGAACGTCCTGTAATTCTCAGTAGGCGAGGCCAACCCTGTGTTTTCAAAACACCCAATTATCCAAACAACACAATCATTAAAAAACAGCAAAGCACTAGCAAGCAAATACTTGAAATTCACAAGTGGAGCCAATTACCCAAATTATACAAAAATGATAGAATAGCAGACTAACATCAAATACTTGAAAACCACTAGTAGACCCAGCTTACCCAAATGACAAAATCACAAGCAAGTACCAAACCAATAACAGATACTTGAAAAATCACTAGCAGACCCAGCTACCCAAATTACAAAATCACAAGCAAATAGCAAACCATAACAAATACTTGAAAATCACTAGCAAAAAAAACAAACCAATAACAAATTACTCAAAAAGCACCAGCATACCCAGTTACCCAAATCATACAATAAGCAAACCAATAACAAAAACTTATAAAAGCACTTATTTAGTAACAGTGACTTCAAAAGCATAATTCTTTACGAGTAGAAGAAGAAGCTCTGATCAGCTCACCTTCATCAAGCACAATGCCCACATTCAAGCCCTTGAAAACATCAGATTCAGCAAATTTCTCAGCACCAGCGTGACCTCCAATCTCCTCATCAGGGACAAACGACAAGTAAACAGACCTTTTGGGCTCAAACCCAGAAGCCTTGAGCCGCCTAATAGCCTCCAGATACTGAATCCCAACGCACTTCATGTCCTGGGACCCCCTGGCGTAAATGTCGCCTTTCGAATCCAGGTGGGCCGAGAAGGGGGGGTGTGTCCACTTGTCGTGCTCGGCTGGAACGACGTCGGTGTGAGAGTTGAGAAGGACGGAGGAGAGAGAAGGATCGGAGCCGGGCCATTTGAGGAGGACGAGAGGCTTGCCAGGGACGAACTCGAGAGTCTGCGACTCGAGGGAGAGGGAAGCGGCCTCGGAGAGGATGAAATCTGCTGCTTCGCGGTACAAGGGCTCAGGCTGCGCCGTGTTGATCTGAAGGTAGCGCTGGAACCTTGAGATTATCTCTGATTCTTTTGCTGCTGATTTTGATGAGAGCAAAAGCAGAGAGATTATGCAGAGATGAAAACTCAGCTCCATTTTTCGAATCTCCTTTCCTTTTTCTTTTTTTGGGTGTTTGTGTTTCAGTGGCTGACTGAGTGAGAGTTTTTGAGACATAAGGAATTCTAGGAGGAAAGACTAGTGGTTAGTTGCGTGGGAACCTATTGGCGGGGGCCAACCGGCCAAATACATGAAAATTTATATATGACCACAAAACATAGGTCCAAAAAAATATAAATTTTTTATGAAAGTGTGTTGAAATAAAGGATTTTAAAAACAAAAGTAAAAGAGAGGAAGTTTAATAACAATTATTTTTCAGGTCTTTTGTGTGAATTTGATTTCAGATTTTGGTTGGTATGTCTCGAAATAAATATTTTAGTACTGAATTATGATGCAATCTATCACATTTTTTTCATAAAGACAACGATATTGTTTTGGTTGTTATTTTCTTTTGAGATATTGAATTGTGTGTGTCAACAAGCGTTATTACACACAAATACCATGAGAGTTTGAATCCATGACAACTTAGAAGCACACCAAAGGCCTGAGCCAATCCAACTAAA